AATAAATTTCAATGTCTGGCTCTAGCGGTCAGATGCTTCCAGATAAATGTTCACATGCGTGCAATGATTTTCGATAAAACGCAAAACGATCACCCCTTAGAGTAAATGCTCGTTGCTTTTAACAGCGACGATAACTGGATTGGACTTCCTATTATTTTATCGAATTCGCCGATATTTCATATATGAGCAGTATGGTAATGCATTGTTTTCATTTATTTACTTATATGTGTACGTATTTAGAAACATATAATACACTTATTAGTGTGCATTACTCTTATTTTGTAACCATATCTTATTAAAACATTGCTCCAAAAAACATTAAGATCTACGGTCATGAATATAGAGTCATCTGGGAGGTGACAAATACGTCTAATGTGGAGTTTGGTATCAAACTAAAAAATAATGATGCATTCGTATCAGGTTAGCCAAAGTAGGTGGTGAAATTCCACCTTGCCTTTGATACATATTTTGGAAACAGAATGGATTGTCGCTATTCCTTTACTAAGAGCCGACGAACTGATAGAGTTGGAGTATCACTTAAAGTTGGGTGAAGCGGAGCTCTTTGAAAGTGCAGAGTTTAAGCTATATTTAGAACTTGGAGAGGTAGAATGCAAACCTTAATATTAACCAACTAGTTACAAATCAAGTAGCTATAAAGAATTCTAACAAAATTATATTAATATAAACAATTTTTTATATTATTCTTAGATTGCCACTCCATTCTTACCAAAGGTTGTTCATATTCATTATTTTGTTGTTAGAGTATCTACTATCATCGCAGATTTGTGCTACGTGAGTAATAATTGTTAAAATGAAAAAAGAGTCCATTTATTAGTTTTTAATTATTCATATGCTTACAATACGGAACACGCAATGAATATTTGGTATGGGAAAAATTGACCGAACAGCAGTTTTGCTTCCAGCTCTGCATGTGGAATATATCGCAAATAGGGCATTTTGGACTCATGAGGGATATTTTCACGCTTTATTCAACCGAGAATACTACGTTGATGAAAGAACTTAATGGTATGACATTAATTGTACGGAATAATGATTTACGTTCTGCGATGACACTCAAAATGTCAAAGTAAAAGGTGAGATATGTGGCACAAAGTCAAAAAAATACATAACCTGTGAATTCAAAGAATTAACCAAAAAACTACAAACTACAGTAAATTTAGTTGCTAAAGCAATAAACAAAAACATTATTAGGTTTTTTTTTTTTATTGCTACCAGTTTTCAGAGATTTTTTCATTGCTTTTCACTACTATTTTCGACTTACCTAAATAATTATTCTATTAACAGATTTAGTTGATCCCAAGACTAACAAAAATGATTGCATAATAACATTAGAAAAATTTACCAATGCAACTTCTAATGCGTGGAAGCAGAGCAGGCTTATATTCGAATGTGTTCATGATTTTAAGCAAATATTTAACAAACAATACAAAATTCTATAACAATTCTCCACAACTAAGATATATATTAAAGATAAGTGACATTTCTAATTATTTATCAAATGCTCCAGTTTTACCCGTTTTGGAAAGGGCTCAACTGTTACATTATTTTGATCTTGATTTGCAAACTTTAAGTTGTCACGTATTAATGCCACGGCTTTGCCCTTAGGAAGGGTAAATGTTACGATTTTTTTGTCTTCAAAGCAGAAAAACTGCCAGTCGTCTCTTAAATCTGTTAATACAGTTAATACTGCATGTACAGATTTAAGATCGCTGGCAGTTAATTCTGCCAATGCTTGGTACATACAGCTATCATTAACAGATTTCTTTAATTCGAAAAGGATCCAAGTATGATTCTGTGGAATCCTTGACGAAACAGAAAATCTGTCAACGACAGCTGCATCTGTAGTGCCAATTAGTCTGATTGGCAAAATTTCATTATTCATACTTAAAAATTTTTTTTTTTTTGATGCATCAAATACTTCAAGATTTCTATATTTAGAAATTTGAAGTATTTTTCTAAGATGTGGCAAATATCTATCGCATTGTTCTCTTTCAGGTCTATCGTCCCACCCAAATACATCACACCTAACCTCATGACCAATATCTACTCCTATTGCTTCGAGCTTAAGGCCAGTGACTTTTTCAATTTGTTCCCAGTCGTTACACTTAATATCGGATATGGTCACGTCGATTGGTTTTTGTAGATTCTTTACTAAGTTTTCGAGGTTATGAAGCCTTTTGACGACCTCTTTGTTACCTTCCTGAATAGCTAAAATTAAAAAAAAATTATATTAGCATTTGGTCTTTGCTTAACGCTTAGAATGTTAAAAAAAATATCAATAAATTGGACTAAATTAAATGTTATTGAAGTGATCTATCTAATTGGTGTTGTTAATCTTATTTCTTTTGATAGCCTCATATAATATTTAATTCTTTAAACACAGCGAGTTTTTATAAACTAACTGGTAAATACACGATGAGAAATTATCATAAATTTCTAAATATAAGTTCTAACATCCGCATAATGAATTTTAGAGAAAAATTGTTACAAAAATCACTTCAATTAATTTCGATTAATAACCTTTTTCTAATCGTTTTTCCTTAGAATCATTCGTTAGTAGAGAGATATGCTTTAAGAATGTGCCACTGTTGTTATTTACGTCATCATCCTCTGACTCACTTTGATGGCTTTCAGTGTTTTCGCTACTTTGGACAATTTTGCAAATATAAAAATAAAATAATTATAATTATGTACGTTATTTAATAAAGATATATTCATATTATTTACTTACATATCGTCTGCTTGTTTGTTTTATCATTTAAAGGACGTGGCACATTGTAATCCTTAAGTGAATAAGATTAAGGGTGGAGAACAACCTCAGTGACGCCGACAGATTTTCATTGATTGATTGACAATTTTTTTAAAGTAAAAAACGCTACATTAGGGCTAGGTTTACAATTATAACGAGGGTTGTTTTATATTAAATTTGTAA